TCGAGGGCCTCTCAGTCACTGTCCAATTCAATAGGAATTTTGCTGAGCGACAGGTTCTCGGGTGACAGAGTTGAAAGAGTTCCTTGTTGCTTATCCTTTCTATCCCGCCATTTGATCGGTCAATATCAGTGGAAGTGGACAACTCTGCTGATAAGTATTCGCAGTAGCCTGGTGGAAATGCTTTTGACGACGTGTGAGCCAAGTCTCTGAATCATACAGAAGCACTGTTTGTTGAAGATCCACATTGTTATTTAGTAACAATTCGAACACATAAACGAGATAACCTGATTGATAGCCAACTTATCTATTCATCATCAAGAGGTCATATTACACTACAGTACCAACTAACCAACCAACAAACCAAATAGCAGCCTTATTATTATCACTATTTATTGAAGAACACCACATAAACGATAAAGAATACAATAGAGACAAGCCTACATACATACACACGCACGCACAGATACACACAGACATTTATAGCGACATTGTTATTAGTGTTGTATGCGTGTATGTGTGTGTAAGCTATTTTTATGACAGAGTGTAAACAACAGTAGGAGAAATTACACACTTTTTAGCCCTCACCATAATAGTAATAACAATTCTCAAAAAAAGTTAGCCCTTCAAACATAAACAAATTAATCTAAAAGCACAAAAAAGGAATAAAAAGAAGGCTAATATCTCTCATATTCCATAGACAGATATACATTTATGATAAGGTTAAAAGAATCAATTTCTACCTTATCGTTCGATAAGAATTGCACTGGACAGGACTGGACTGGATTGGAAAGGTGTGTGTGTGTATGTGCGTACGTGCGTGCATTTCACGCACAAAATCGATTAGTAATGAAAACAATAAAAAAATTTGTAGTGTTTAATAGTCCTTTCTTATTATTTTTTTCTCCGCTATTGTAAAAGGGTATATTAAAACAGGCTTGTAACGTATGAATTCCCTTTCTGCGTTTTACACGACGGGGCATATTTTAATGCTTGATTAAATATCGAAGTAGTTCAGTCAGCTCAGTTAGTCGGAACAGTGATATAAGAATAAAACTTGGGCACTGTGGTAGAGGATAACTCCATTATGGATAAGATTTTATTTTGATAAATCACACAGTGTAGTGTTATATAGTAGTATTTACTGATGACCACACGTTTCAAGCAGAAATTATTACTGCTAATAATCATATCAAAGCACTCACACAACTTTCTTGCTTCATTCATATACATGTGTGGAATCGATTGGATATTGGAATAAAAATCAATGTGGGATAATGTACATTCAAAAATGATAATAGGAGTGTTATTGGTCAATTACAATTAGATGGGAAGTAAGACGAGTGTTTTTAAAGTCATAATAAGTTACTTGTTATAATTTTGTGATGTACGTGAATTGAATTGAAATAGGATTTTGCGATTATTTATTATCCTCCTCTGATTTGACTGGCTGACTGGTGGTAATAATATCTTCCACATATCTGGTATTTGCAGTGAGTCATTTCCGTTGCACATGTGTTGGGTGTAGACTCAATGAACCAGAATTCAGTAATCAACCTCTCTTTCCACCTACATAGATTACTTCTTACAATTTTAACCCTATCCCACCCTATTGTGTGACTGTGTGTGAATGCGTGAAGTGCAATTGCTGAGCTTCTTTCCAAATTACTTATCTTTTCAGGGTCAACCATTCTTAAGAGAATGCTTGAAACGTGTGGTCATCAGTAAATACTACTATATAACACTACACTGTGTGATTTATCAAAATAAAATCTTATCCATAATGGAGTTAGTCGGAACAGCTTTTTTCACTTGCCAGGTAGCGAGACACACTGTGTTTTTGCATGTGTGTGAAGATTGGATGATACTGCACCCTAGTGACTAAAATCAGATTCGAACCCGGGGGCGTATTCGCCAAGAGTCAAGTGCTTAAGCCAATGTAGCCGAACCGAAACAGTCATCGGGTATTTAGATCACTCCGATAATCAGGTTAGCAGGCACTATCGGTTGATGTGAGTGGTATACGACTCATCTCAATCAATCAGTAGTATGTAATTTGTACGCATAAAATCAGTAGCTTTTATTGAATTTGAGATTTTTCCGTCGATTGACTGGACCGAAGTGCTCGGTCTCAGGTTGACATATGACCCGTTGCACAAGAGGTGGCTTTCGTCACCCAAGTGGTCTAGTGGATAGCACTTTGGCGTTTGAAACTAAGGGCTCTGGGTTCGAGCCTCGGTGGGAACGTCATCACTCACTGAGAAATGCAGGTAATTCCAGATGACGAGTCCCAAATGGGACAAAATGCGCGTTATCCTGGATTCCACTGCCAGTCACCATCCACCATTTTAAATCAATAACCACCTACAAGTCTATATGGGTCATCCTAGACATCTCTACATCAGACCAACCACTATGAGATCATATTTGGCTCAGGTGATTGGAGAAAAATAGTCGTTAGACATAATATCTAACATCCAGGTGGTTATTCATTAATTAATATTACAACGAATGGGATATCTAATAACCATAGGATAAACACAATTGTTCTGACTACCATCCTTTAAAGGTCACTCAGTCTATACGCTAGGCACCACGTTACACGTATTGCAAGAAGTCTGAAATAAGGCTTAGAATGATAAACATTAGAGGAGTCTAAAGCTCAAAAAGGAACAATAAAAACAATCCCAGACTACATTAGCAATCTGAGGTGGAAATATTCACAGCTATCGTATTAAGCCTTTGGGAATGAACTAAGTAAGTCTTGGGGATTCCATTTCACACATATTATTATCCCATTCATATATAATAATTGTGGCTTATAGCCTCGTACAGAGTACACCTGCGTTGGATAAATATGTAGCATTTTTACACTATTCAGGTATTGGAGAAACTAGGTAGCATGACTCACTATCGACTATAGCAGTGCAGATGCATTTGAAATTTTGAGAATTCTCATTCAATTGTATCAGATACTTGTCTCTCTAGCATATATTTCCTTAGACTACTGTCACATACAACTTATTCTGGTTTCTAGTTGACTTCTCTTTGTTCCAATGTACGCGCATATAAAAAAGCTGCTATGTATGTCATTTTTGAGGTTTTAGCCGTAAGTCACGCGTGAATAAATCAGAGGTCATAAATCACTTGCTAAAGTGTTTCGATTATACGCCAATAATACTTGCCATTGGTTGGCGATCAGCTGATACTGAATTACGATTGACATTTCAGAGGCGGGGAGTGGGGTGCTCTTCACCACTGAAGAACCACTTTCCTACCCTTCTGAATGTTGTAACTTTATTACCTTGGACATGTACCATGGTTAAGAGTAAATAGTATTATGTAAGGGCTGACAGCACAACACAGTTACCATGGCTGGAGTAGGTGGAGAGGAATTCCAGCCTAGAAGTTATTTCAATTTTGGCCTGGAATTGACTTCAGACAGAGGAATCACAGATTACTGGACAATGGTTTCATCCTTGTTTGGGACGCCTAGTCAGTACGTGTCTATGACTTCACCAGAAATAGAACTTAGTACCTTCACATTATACAAGAGGTCATTATCAGAGTCGAGTGCTTAAACTAATGATATACATCTCCGCTATCCTCGTGCATGAACTATACACAAAGAGTGTACCTCAGGACGTGTTGATTTTCGAAAAAATATTGTGTGTGTGTGTGTCAGTAAAAGATAAAATGCGGTAATAGAAATGAAACTAATACCACCTGATTCATCATACTATTTACTATGTGGACCCATTATTGTAATAAGATAAATCATATCAATCTTTGACAACTAAGGAGTTTATACACTATTTGTTAGTGTGTAGGTCATTCGGTCAAAATCCAAACCCTTTTTTTCCATATACTATATCTTGACAGGCTTGGGAAACGTAGCCAAGGTCATGAAATCAATATCAGGTGCAATAAGTAAATATTCAGTGCTGCTTCTTTTGTAAGATGTTTCAAGTAAAATGTCAATAGGATTTTCATCATGATCTGACATTAGTTAGAGAACCATTGGAAAACCTGGGAGTACTGGACAGCTGTTTCGTTCTAATTCTGAACTATTCATCAGTACGCATCCAGCGGGTTCGAACGCAGGATCTACTGGTTACAAGGCGAGCTCATATACCATTAAGCCACTGGGAGCCGATCCAATGGCCAGTGCATGAATTCTATCTTCTATCAATTCACGACATAGCGCGACCCCAGCCAATGTCTTTGGCGAGTATTTGTCCTCACCCCCGACCTGCTGCACTCTACTGGTGACGACTTCCCACTGGAACCCCAGGTAACTACCTACCTGAATAGGGCCAGTCACCAGTGAGCATCTCATTGGTATTCAATCCTTTACAACAAATCCACCTAGAAACCAAGAGTGATTTCTCACAAATTCAGTGTAGTATATAATACAGACAATCAGAAAACAAGCACACTACTAACAATCTATGATGGGGTAGTAAAATACAGGTAGCGGTCGAAATAACTTCATCACAGTAACAACAAAAATCATGCAATGAAACGAGCTAAACTTACTGAAGCCACCGAATGCCATCATACGATATTCAAACCTGCTTGCTCAATGACTAAAGAACTCCATCCAGCCGATGAAACACTGGTTTGAGTTCCACTCCGTCTACTTTAACCGTGGGTAACTTACCTGGGTAGCATCATTAGCCCCCTCATATGATGGATGTGGGACTCAGCCTGATACACGAAAAATCTATTCCAAGTAATTGAGTTCAAACAAGAACTTCCCCTCTACAACCATGGGGTAGCTACAGTGCCTATTCTTGATTCCCTTAGTTGCAATTCAGCATCTATTTCACAATTACTGGATGAATTATGCAATCACAACTAAAAACTATTAGTCATACAATCTATATGACGTAAATTCTTACATAATGATTACAAGATGATACAACATATAAATAATATGGATATCGACTGGGAGTTGAAGAGAGGCAAAAGAAAATGTCTATACAAACAACTCTACTTACCTGACCATTTCTTCTCAAATGAATTAGTGATTGTGCCAGATCTTTTAGCTCATCGCATAAATTTAGTATTAGCTTACAATTTGGATTAGTTGAATCTAAATTGGCCAGTTTTTGAGCAGAGTTTAACACTTGATTTAATGCTTTTTCACCAGCAGTCATTGCAGCAGAACACTGAAACAGAGTAGGATTAATATATAAAAATAAAACAAAAGTATTCACAGTGTTAAAGTAATAATAATAATGAATACACTCTTAGTAGTCATACATTTTTATAAAGCATCATTTTGCTTTTACCTTCTTATGTATTCATCAATAAAAAATAGTTGTGCAGCAATTATGCTTGTTGTTATTGTTAAAACACAAACTTGGTACACTATAAGCACCAAGAGATGGATCACACAGAATCTCATAGTCTGTGCAAGGTTCGGAATGGTGTCAAGACATCCAGACCGAAGAAGGTGGCTGTCTTAAATGACCGTTACCCAGCCTTTGTGTTGAAGTCTGATCCACACGGCGATAGAGCGACATCTGGGGCTACGTTCACATAGTTTCTGATGACTAAATCAGATTTCTACGACAATCGAACCCTTTGGATTCTAAAGTCTATATTCACTATATAGATAGGTAGATAGACAAGGATGTCTGCCAGACGTTCGCATTCATCCTCTCAGTTTTGTGAGGAACATCCATGCCACGTGGAGGCAGTAAAAATACGACTTGCATAACAGAGGCTGAGAACACGTGGTCACATGAGGGTGTTCCGAGAGGAAGACTGAAATCGACTGTAACAGGCCGTTTTTGGGGACGCAATTACATTTAGTGACTGTAATACAAAAGTCATTCTAATCAAACAGATACATTCATGATCACATCAGGGAGCACACAGAATAGTGAAGTTACATCGACTGAGGTGGTTAGGATATGTGTTTCGCATGCATGCCTAGCCATCGCCTTCCTCGACTGCAGGGAAACGTTAGCTGACATAGGATGGATAAGATTAGAAAAGAGCCGGTGGTGGTCAAACCAAAACATGGCACCAGTCAGTGAAATCCAAAAGTTAGTTTAAGCCAGTCAGTCACGTAGGAAGATGTAGACTTCCTGACTGGTTGGGGTCCTCGGGATGGTAAATACCGATGGAGGCTGGAAACAATCGGTGATATGGTTCAAAGCTATCGTTCTCAATGGCGCAGATGTATCCACTTCTTGTGACTTGTGATTTCCAATAAAACCATATTTTTCTTCGATGTTACTATTTTTGCCTCATATCTCTGTTTACTGTGTCTATTTTGCGTTGCCTTTTACTTTCTTCTCTTGCTTTGTGTGCTACATGGAGTGTGGTGACTCGAACTGCTGCACATCGGTGCAAAGTTCTATGTCGAAAGCAGACAGACAGGGAATAGATAGTGGTTGATAGCTATAGTGATTCTAAATTACAACAGGAATGATAAGTTGGCACATTTCCTTTTTCGGCAATCATAAATCTTGGTGACCAAATATGTTAATCCATCTGAAAATTAGTTATATGTTTGATGTAGTAAAGGCTGTTGATGATTCCAAATTGTTACTTCAATCTTTATCAGCTGTATGGATTTTGAAATTACAATTCATTGTAGAGAAGTGAATATGTCAGTGAATTATACGTTGAAGATATTATTATTTTATATTATTATTGTTCCCTTGGGTTCCTCGTGGAACATAAGGCTTCAACTGCACGTCTACACTTGCCACTTGTCTTCTGCTGTACTTTTCAACTGTGTCCATGTTAGTTAGTCCATACTCTTTCAACTCCTCTTTACACGATCTCCTCCATGTCAGCCTTGCACTGACGTCCCACTCGCCGCCACCCTTTCTGTCGGGTTCCACTCGAGCAATGGCCTGGCGCGCGCGCGATGTCACTCAGCGGTCTCCTCAGCGAGTGTCTAATCCATCTCCACTCTCTCCTGCATATTTGTTGGGCGATTGGTTCTTGTTTTGTTTCTTACCATAGTTTCTTGTTGGTGATTCTTTCCGGCCAGCCGGCCATCTGATCTTCAGTATAAAGCGAAGACAGTTGTTGATAAAGGTCTGCAACAGGCTGTTGGAAATATTCTTCGTGACCCGCCCACCAAGTCTCTGATCCATATACAAGAGCTGACTGACTTGACGTTGTTTGTATTGAAAATCCGACTGAATTTTGTTGTTGATGCTGAGTTAAGTGAAGATTTACAGATTGGTTTCAGGTTGATGAGTGTGTTTCTCGCCTTCCTGATTCTCGATTTGACATCCTCGTCCGTTCCGACTTCCTGTAGTTGAGACAATGCTCCCTAGATGATAAGTGAATGAAGTAACCTCTTTCAAATCCCTCCCATTGATGGTGATTGGCACTGGATGTTGTTGCATTGAAGTAATGAGCAGGGTAATGTAAGAGATAACTACATGACTATATGTTTTCATTTTAGGAGATAAATCAACTTTGATTTGACACTAGTAACTAGTGTGATGCGTCTAGTCCTCTGATTGGTGTAGACTGAGTTCTATCAGTCAGATTGTGATATGACCACCATTCTAGCTAGCTCACCATCACGGTGCACATTGATTTGATGGTATTAGATGATTGGAGGCAATCGGCCACAGGAAGCCTTGGACCTAGATTTCGTGCTAGTTGGCACTCATCAGTCACCAAGGCGTATCTGAAACCTTGAAAGAACTGATGTCCCTTCTGAGATTCGAACCCGCGTCACCCAATGCTGCAGTCAGAGACTCGCAGAGAAAAGAGAAAATGAAAGTTATGTGTGGAGAAGAGCAGATTTTTTTTAGGCGGGCTACATAGACTTTCAACTTTTGTATAAATGAATTGTGCATTACGAAAATGGTTTCTTTTAAGCTATCCACTGGTGTAGGAATCTGATAAACAGATATTTTTTCCTTCACGTCCCCCAGTGAACATAGAGCCTCAAGCTAGTGGCTTGAAGTTTCTGTAGCAGTGGTGTTTACTTTTACAGGATGGGGTTGCTAGCCTCATGCCCAAACTTTCCTCTTCACCAGCTTTAGTTCTGGCTTAGTGAGGTAAAGGAGTGCACTGGCCGGGGATCGAACCCCGGACCAACCAACATCAGAAATACAGGTAATTTACTTCCATATTTATTGATTTTATTTCAACCACCATATTCAGACAGTGTCATATTGAATATCAGTGAGGAAAAATTACCAGAATGGTACCGCGCACAAGAAATTCTAGCAGTGAACTAACCAACAACTTTCTACTAAAAAATATATGCAGACGGAAATGGAGGACTGAAGATACACTGAAACAAGAGAATTATACCACACGCTAGGCACGCACTCAAGGGGAATTCGAACAGGTAGTTACAAGTGGGGTAGCAGAGGGTGACATGAAGATCATCTGAGGATGAAATGAAAGTTAGTGGCTAGCTGTAAAGCCAGCTTGAAGTGATGCAAGATGTGCCGCCAAGGACGTACGTCCCACTTAGAATGCAATGCTTTACATCATCTACCAGAAAATTTACAATAAAACGCAATAAGAATGATGAGACTTGATATTTCTGGTAAACACCATCAGTTACCATCTAAAAGGCTTTATACAGAAATTTGAGTTTGGTTTGAATGCTGCATTTCCGCCAAGAAAGATGAGTATATATATAGTGGTCTGCAGGAATTGAATCGAGCATCCACAATTTCTTCTATGGTAAGCAGAATTTGAGTCCATGAAGTCCATATTAACTAACAGCCAACCTACTGGTTGTCCCGTTTCACATTTAAGACAATTCGCAACTTTAGTCAGGTTTAGAGTGAGTGGTGACACTGTGAAAGATTGAAACTTGAGAATAACGGAAGTCACAGAGTGTTTGTGACTTACTGTAACTTTATCCACATTCATCAACACAAATCCAATTCTAGTGAGCTCCGTAAGTCACCAGAAATGAGAACTGCTCAAACGTGAACTAACTGGAAGTTTTTGGTAGCTAATTTGAAGAGTTGTCGGTGACGGGCGCATCAGAGTTCAATAATGTCCTCCATCTACTCAAGATTATTACAGAAAGACTCTAAAGAGGGTTGTGGTAGTAAGTGAAACCGCCTCTGAAAAAAAATTAAGTGGGATTAAAAGTAACTGAAATATTTATTGAAATACTTTGAAGAGCCCTTCAGCTGCCTTGAAGTTGTTCACTGTTGGAGTGGAGGGTGGACAACTTCAAGGCAGCTGAAGGGCTCTTCAAAGTATTTCAATAAATATTTCAGTTACTTTTAATCCCACTTAATTTTTTTTCAGAGGCGGTTTCACTTACTACCACAACCCTCTTTAGAGTCTTTCTGTAATAATCTTGAGTAGATGGAGGACATTATTGAACTCTGATGCGCCCGTCACCGACAACTCTTCAAATTAGCTACCAAAAACTTCCAGTTAGTTCACGTTTGAGCAGTTCTCATTTCTGGTGACTTACGGAGCTCACTAGAATTGGATTTGTGTTGATGAATGTGGATGAAGTTACAGAAAGTCACAAACACTCTGTGACTTCCGTTATTCTCAAGTTTCAATCTATCACAGTGTCACCACAGCAGACTGAATATGATGTTAAAGTTCCTTAGAATGAGTATCGCTAAGAAGCTCCAATAAGTAGTTAAAAAACACGTGAAATAGATGCTTGACGTTTTCATCTATAAGTTGTGCATGTAAGAGCTGTGTAAACGCTTGTTTTGTCAGTTACCGACAAATGCATATCTTATTAAAATCGTACACCTGGGCAACAACAAACTTCATACTGGCTTTCACCTCCGGGTCTGTAACTTTCGTCCAAAAATTATTTAAATGATATCAACAAATGGCGTCAATAAAGTGTACGTAGATAAGAACACTTCCTGTTACAGAATTCTGACAATAATAATACGACGTGAAAATCAACACCACATGTGTCCACCACCCATTACCATTTTACTATTAACCACAGTTGAATGTACGAATTGGGTGGCAAAAACTACAAGTACAAAGTACTTGAAAATCGGAAGTGAAGTAATTTATCACCACTGTTATTAGACATAAATAAAAAAACCAGTAGTCATCTAATTTCGACTTGTTAAGAACATAAACGAAAGTGGATTACGGCTTATATTTATGAGAAGATAAACAGATGTAAAAAAAAAACAGACATAAGTCTAAAGAACAAACTAACTGGAATTTCATCTATGTTAAACCAAATTCATATAAAACTGCTTAAGACTTACATTAGAATCCGAAATCCAATCATTTACGAATTGTAGACGACTATCGAAAGCCACTTTGTTCATATGCATAGCTGCTAAATCATCATCGAATAATTCTGATGAATCTGTTTCAGTAAGCTGCAAACCCCGTATAATTTCATGTATTTCACTGGACATCTCAGATAACAAAAAGTCTCTATTTGCTTGACTTTCAGCTGCTCCAGGTAAATCTATGCGCATGGACAAAAACACGGGTGGTTCAGCAGAAATGCATATTACGATCAATACAAATAAAAAAATGTGATTAGCCATAGTTATTTATGTTTAGTCATGTTTATCTTTTTTTTAAATAGTGTTTTGTAAACACATGCGGAAAAGTTCGCCAAGCAACTTTATATAACACAATTTAAGGTGTACAAGAAACCAGGAAATACATCCACCCAAGTTTTATCCTTCACAATACACTTTTATAACAAATAAAATGTCAAATGTTATTCTCACATTAACTGTTGAGTTAAATACAATCTCCACTCAAAAAAAAACGCCATAAGATAGCCCTGATCCCAGGATAAAATTGACAGGCATAAAAGTAAAGTGAAGAGAACTAAGTAACTGAATATTATAGGAACATCACATCGATAGAGGATCCGCGATAAAAATGACACCGTTCTCAAGCTATCAGATGAAAATAATCGTTGCCCTAGAAGAAGTAAGCTGATCGATAGAAGGATATATGAATAGTAGTAAGTCAGAGGAAAATGCCCTTTTTTAAAATACTTAAAAAATGAAACAAGCATTCGTTAAATTATAGTTTATAATACAAGTTTTGCAAACAACTTACTATTATTATGCGTATTCACGCAAAGTTTTAAAGACGATATTAAAATTGGTGTTAGACGCTTAACTTGTTCTATACCCCTAAGCAGTAATGCAGAGTGAGATTGAATAGTTAGTTCTTCCTGTCGATTATGAACTTCTTTGATCATATCGGCCATACAAGGGGTTAGACGCTAGATATTACAATTGTTATATCAAAAAAATACCTTGACAAAATCTGCCAAATCTGTGAGGCTTGAAACCCGTTCTGCTGTAGCCAGTACAACAAGCACCCTTCTGCAGTGTTCAATGATTTTCCGAACCTCCGACATATCAAAAGTTAGAAGTACAGATGATGTTCCCTGCAGAATTCCTAAGAAAAGTGAGATGAGATCATCTTACCTCTAGAGCCTTCTATCAAGTTTTTACGTGCCTCAGATGAGCTTGGATCTTTTTGTAAAAGCACAACTGCTTCCTGAAGATAAAAAGATGCATCTTCGACACGTTTGAGAGAGGGCGGCATATCTTTCTGAAGTAGCTGGTCATCGCTGGCTTCGATAGTTTGATGGCCAACCTATATTGATGTTTTTTAGCTTTTGCCATCTACCTTTATAAGATTATCAACAGCTAATTTGACGACATTCACGCGAAACTCGAGATCAGGGATTTCAGTACCTGATCCGGCATCTTCAAACAACAAGATAAGCTTCAGAACCTGAATTTTTTCATTTTACTAAAATAAAAACACTACCTGCTGCGCGACAGGACTAAGGATACGCTCAATCGACTTCGTGTGGAACGACATCAAATCTGAAAAGTAACACTCCCATACAAAAGACGCGGTTAGGTAGGACACAGGTTATATCGTTTTTATTTTCCAATATTCTCTATACGAACTAGCGCAGACCCAATAGATTTCTCCGATCTCGCAACTTTATTGGGAAACAAAAGTTGTTGATTTCTAGTAATTCTCTGCCGAATTTTTCATAACATTTCTTGCGCGTGAAGTTTCAAAATGACCAGTGACGATTTTCCTTACCTTCTAACTGTGTACTTCTCTAATCATGAGAGCGGCAGGTGACAAATATTCACCTGACATGTTTTTTGGACAAAAAATTCTGCAGAGTTCCAAATTCAAACCTATATTCTTGAACTCTCATGAAATAATAACAGCATATTTTGCCTATATAATAAAACACGCAAATATATAATTCTTGAAGCAGGTGGGATCACCTGAAAGAAATCGTATGCGAAATAATCACCCACCTACAGTTCACCTCTGAAAATAGGATTGTTGTCTATGGAGTTGAAGATTGAACGATCAATTCTTGGTTGTTTGCTTAAAATCAACTTCCCCAATTTTCGCGGAAGCATCAATACGACAGTCATCGTCTCATCGGTCGCTGTTCAGAAAGAAGATTGAAACATCGTCAGAAGTAATACAGAGATTTATTATTGTAATATTTGTTTTCAGACCTTAGTTTGCTTAGTTCGCTTATTCCTTTTATATGTTGGTGTAACAATAAAGAAATATCAAACGGCAGATCGGTGTTTTGGTTTTTGCGTCCGTTATAACTAAGCGTTTCTGAGAAATCTTCTAAGAACAGCGTGGGCCCGAGCGTAGCGAGAGCTGGGCATTAACGGTTTATGAGACTTTGCTGACAGTTTCTGACGATGGAAACAGATCTGGCGGATTCAAACAGTTGGTGAAAGTTTGGATAGTCGCCGTTCATTTTTCCTGGTGCCGGTCAAGTCCTCTTTGAACAAGCAATATCTGGAACTTTTTGGAATTTGGTCAAGTTCAACAATGCCTGGGTCAAAGAAGGGACAGAGTGTCTTGGATGCAAACAGGAAAGTAAGTCATGGTGACTTGTCTGTTAATTGTAACGATGTGTCTGATGTTAAGCATGACATGGTTGATGTTACTGTTTCGCCGTTCAGGGATAATAGGAACATCAAACTCCCTAAATTTGAACCACGATGTTTTGATGGAAACCCGGCTGATTATTTACAATTTGTAAAGGAGTTTGAGATCATGTTGAGTGGTTTTTTATTAAATGATGAATTGAAGTTAATGTATTTGATGAGATATTGCACTGGAGATGCTGCAAGAGCTATACAGTGTTGTAAGTTTATGAAGCCAAAAGAGGGCTACTACGAGGCTATGAGCATATTACGCCAAAGGTTTGGAAGACCTTCGATGATTGCAGGGAAATTATTCGAGGCTGTTAAGGGTAATGGTGGTCAATTACAGGATGACTCCCAGGCACTCACTGAGTTTTTAGATAATTTGCTAATTTACAAGAATGGAATGATTTCGATGAATCGCGTGAGTGACCTCAACTCGAGTTTTATACTAGAAGTAATAGCAAGACGTCTACCTACTCGACTGCAAAGGAAGTGGGTGAAGATAAGCTCCCGTATGGAGGATGAGGGTATCGAGCCAAAGTTTGATGATATCCTGAAACTGGTAAATACTAGTGTCAATCAATCTATGAGCAAGTTCGCCAGTCTATTAGATCTCAACCCTAGAATAGAGCAGTCTGAGGGTAAAACGCAATCATTGATGACGAATAAGCCTCAGAGAGGTGGATATCGAGAAGGCTCCATGATGTCTAGTAATGCATATAGATCTAGTGAGTGTAACAGGTTTCGTAGTACATCCTCAACAGATAAGTTGCAAGATGCAAGACAAACACGGTTGTGTTGTACTCGTTTGCAAGAGGTGCATACAAAGGTGAACTGTGAACCAGTGAGCAAGTTCAGTGATAAGCTAAATGTAAACTCCAGGCCTTACTCCGAATTGTGTGACGATAACGGTGCGATGAAGAAGTCTGTAGTTGCAACTGGTAAGCCGTTGCTGAATAGAGTGTCACAGAATAGAGTTACTGCTTCAGAGTGGAGTTCTGACTCCAAAAGTTTACAAAGTATAACTAGTCAGAGTGAAGATGTAAAACCTTTAATGATTTGTGAGGAGGAACCAAAATTGTCTACTTCTGTTATTAAAGAGTTTGAAAATGATGAACTTGACGGTAAATTGGATATATGTGATAATGATCATGATAGTGCAGATTTGTCTTTGGTTGATCATGATGAAATGGAGGGAATGCCTACTACTGCTAAGTTAAATAAAGGTTCTGTACAACTACAACGTGAAGTAGAATTGAATGCAGATGCAGTTGCAGAAGGTATGCATACTTGTGAGACCGTCAGTGTAATTGATCAGCATGTAGCCCACCTATCATCAGATGATAGTGCTAAACCCGAACTAGTAGTGAAAGACAGCAGTGGTGGTAATCTTGCAGTTGGACAACTATCTGAGAGCCGAACAAGAACAGCTTCTGATCCACCACTAAGTTCATCACCTTGTGTCACTCAGTCATCGTTGGTGCTGTCATCCACAATGAAACAGACACCCATCAACTCAAGTATCTTGTGCAATGACTATGGTAGTATCAGTTCGTTTGAAAGGACGAATATCAATGGTCAGTTTAGTGTGGATAAGCCAAGTGTAAAGGAGAGAGTTATTGTTAAATTGACTTGCACGAATAAAGGCATTTCTAGTTTCAAGTTACTATTTGAATGTTATTATCTTTGGTGTAAATTACTCTGTTTCTATACTTGGTTGATGAGATATGTCGTGTGTTTGTTGGTCATCTATATTCTACGATACAATGACATGGGCGTGTTGCCGTTCAGATTTGAGGATATAGCTGATAGAAGGAAGTTAGCAAATGAACTCTGCGACGATTTTCCAACCTAGGGCGTCAACCTGAGAAGGGTTGTAGGCGTACTGCTGTAAGTCCTACAGTTCTTCAAGGGTAGTTTGTCGTGTCAGAATCCACAACATTTGATGTGTTGATTGTACATATGTTTGTGTTAAATAGTTGTGTGAGTTCCAATTGATGTAATTGTTGGTTAATCTTGTTTGTGTCTGGACATTCCACAACTTACAATCGTCAACCTGTGAAGGGTTGTAGGCGTACTGGTGTAAGTCCTGCAATTCTTCAAAGGAATTCCACCAAGACATGATCGGCGAGGTTGTTTGTACTATTTGTATATACGTGTGGTGTGTCATATCAATTGGTGTTTTTGGATTCATTGTGTTTACTTGTTGTTTTCGTATCTTGTTGTTATTGCGTAATTTTGTTAAAATTTTCGTCGTGATTATTTCTGAAGTTGTTTCGAGTCTTCTACATCCGTGAATGAATTGATTGATGTTAAGGACAGCAGATTGGTCGTATACGCCGGGGAGGCTAGGCTATTGCTGAGAATGAAATGCACACGGAGATAATTGTTAGCTGCGATCCGACACGCCGGGGAGAAAGAGTGTAAACGACTGAGGCTCGCATGCGTCACCGCTATTAGAACTGAGGCAGAATGAGTGACAAGCGATTGCAGTGGTAATTGGTAGTGAGTAGATAAGAGGATGTGCGACGAGTATCATGAGGTACTGCTATGGTCACGTTGCATTCTGCAAGAGTCATTCTAGTAAGTGGCGATTGTGTTGCAAGATGTCAAGAGGAGGTCTCTGTCTGGAGGCGCAGGTCGTCAGCGATGTGTGAGATTGTGCTGCGGGTATGCTTGTGGTGTGTTGGCTTTTCTGTTTGTTTTCCATTTCAGCTCTGTCCGTGTGACCCAGGTTCTCGCAATGGCATCCAAGTCAACGTGCATTGGTCGTGAAGGAAAAAAGGGTTGGATCCCTTTTTTGGCGGGGAGTGTCAATGGAGTTGAAGATTGAACGATCAATTCTTGGTTGTTTGCTTAAAATCAACTTCCCCAATTTTCGCGGAAGCATCAATACGACAGTCATCGTCTCATCGGTCGCTGTTCAGAAAGGAGATTGAAACATCGTCAGAAGTAATACAGAGATTTATTATTGTAATATTTGTTTTCAGACCTTAGTTTGCTTAGTTCGCTTATTCCTTTTATATGTTGGTGTAACAATAAAGAAATATCAAACGGCAGATCGGTGTTTTGGTTTTTGCGTCCGTTATAACTAAGGGTTGCTGAGAAATCTTCTAAGAACAGCGTGGGCCCGAGCGTAGCGAGAGCTGGGCATTAACGGTTTATGAGACTTTGCTGACAATAGTTGATAGATCAAATCCACATATATGTTAATTTCTCCGAATCGAGTGTGTTGGACTACATACAGTTTGTCTAGATATACTGTTTTTCATAAATTTACCCACTGCATTGGAACAAACAGTGCTATTTTTACATGAGCTTTACTATTCATGCTCATGTTTTGTATGAAAAACATGGCATTTAGACCGAATATCCTAAGCTTTACCTTTTCAGCGGTAAATAATTCCCCAAAATTATTGACCACTGCAGTAATCACTGAACCTTTGATGCTGCTCATCACTGTTTGAGTTGACTTGTTTGGTTGAAGACTTCTGGCCAAGCATCCACGCCATTTGGTACTCCATGGTTTCACGTTCGCACACGATCCCTAGCTAGCTAAGCAATCATCTCGCACTCCGATTCGGTCCCGAAATATATCTTGTAATTTGAACGATCAAATATTGTCTTTTGCTTTGCTTTTGGTCTACGCGGAACAGGTACTATAGAAGTTGTGGGTATTAGATCTTGCATTAGTATACTTCGCTCTATCCTTGAACGTCAATACCGTCAGTCTCTAAACCTTCTTGTGAGATCGATGACCTAAACCTGCTTTTTTTATTCACTTTTGTGTCACACTGCAGTAATCTTATTTGCTAGTGTATAGCAGTGGTCTTCCTGAAACACGAGAATTATCCGATTCTCGAACCATGATGCTCATGGAGATAATGACAATACAAC